ACCCCCCCATCCTTAAGTGACCTTGCCTAGTTTAAGTCACAGTAACACTGTTATGTCTCATTTCCTCTATGATTTTATCTTACGATAAAAACAGACATGCATACCTTCACCTTTCTTTAGCAGTGAAGGCTCAGACTCAACAGGGTTGGGACAGCTAACAAAACATGCAGCTCTGTGCCACTGCCATTTTGAGAGACTAGAAATAGTTACTACCTGACATGGACATTGTAAGAGGCAGACAGAAATACACAATGTATAGAGGGGACTGTGGTCGCAGGACACTGTGCCAGATTCTGCAGTGATTTTCCAGTAGGAAGAGGAGTTTGGAGAGTGGATTGGAATCTGCCTCAACATTTATTTTCCTTTATGTAATGTTAGCAGCAGCAGTCAGCTAAGACACCTGATCTACAGCCCTCTCAGAAGACATAAGGGAACTGTTGGCAGAGTGTTCTCCATGAGGACCCTTTGACTCCTGTTTGCTTGCCCCCCCCAAAGTAGCATTAATCTGCTGATTATCAGAACAGTGTGCAAAGACTGCAAACTATTTGTTACAGCATTGGGAAAGCATGGGTTGGAGGGGGGAGGGGAGGAGAGAAGAAGCTGTATTCTGTTGTCTATTAATTTAATTGTAAACAGAGTACAATATTGCTACTGGATGGTTACTCCTAACCAGGGTAGGTTTTAAAATTTTTGTTGGATGGTCTAAGTAAATACTATTACAGAAGACACTTAAGAAAGAAATGCAGTGAAAAGGGGAGGGAACTTAAGCAATTTAGCAAGTTCTTATTTCCCAACAGATATGACAATAATAAATATAGAGCATTTTTATAAAAACAAGTACAGCGTGGTTGCCTCTCACCAACCACATACATTGTTCGTCCAATCCTGAGCATTATTATTGACAATTAGCTAATAGGCAAGAAATTTTCTAATGTCTTATGCTGAGCCCAGTGTTCCTGGACAGGGGAGAGAATGACCTGGGTGACCCATCACCTCAATGTATCTGCTTAAATGTGATTGTTAAATCCAGAATGCCTGTGCTAAGCATCAGAATCACAAGAGAAAACTCTGGTCCCCGTAAATGATGGACTCTTGTTTTCAGGCCCCAGTGTTTCATCATGTTTGCAGAAGTGGCTTACATCTTAATGCTGCAAAAACTGGGTTCTGAAAGGGTCCCCAGGCAGGATAGCTGTTTGATTCCCACTGTTCAGTACAGACCCGGTACTGTGACATCTTTTACATGCGTGCCCTCTGGAATTCCACTCCCACTACTCAGACAGACAATCTCAAACACAACTGCAAAGATGGCACATCCTCCCAAAATGGCTGTCACTGCAGTTGGCCACACAACTCTCATTTCAGAGCTGTTCAAAATCAAATCATTTTAACAGTCGTCTAAGGAAGGTTTAGATTATGATAGGAGCTAAAACCCCTTATGCCCATTTCTCCATACAGAGAACCATGCCCCAGAGCCTGACAAGGGAGACCAGTAACTAAAGACGTTTCAACCTCCACAGCACTGAACCAGGTCCCTACCTTGAAAAGAGAAAAATGATTTGCGCTGAATCCCATATGGGGTCATTTTAACAAGTACACTGGTCTTAGGGAAGAACCTGATACAATCCTTATGACAAGCTGTCACTTGCATATTAAAGGAGTCAAAAAGACTTGCTTCAAATGAGAAAACCACTTAGTCTTGAACTCGAGGCTTGTGGGGTGGAGAAAACACAGCTGCCCAGGCCTGATGGAAAAGCTGGATCAGCTTGTAAAGGAAAGGCAGGGATGTGGGAGCAGCTGCAGAGCAAGGAAAAAAAAGAAAGAGAGGGAAAGATTTGTTATAGAGGTAAGTGCAAAAAATATTACATTCAGAGTTACATTGGTCTGATCCCAACTAGGACAAGTGGAAGCCTACTTTCTCCTGACCAGGAGCAGGAAGCTTCAGGGCAAAGAGCACTCAACTCTGGTGAGCTACACTGCAGTATACAAAGGCTGATTTGGACATTAGACTCACCTGTCAGTTGAAGCCTAGCAGCAGGGTACTATTAATGATTATATTTCCTAGGATTATTCCAGTCACTAGAAACACTCATTGCAAAGTGAACTTATTAAGTACTAATAAGTGCATTTTAGGGTAGTTTTGCTTTGGCTTGTACCTTAATTGGGTCTCAAAGTTAATGTCAGAATTATTTTCCTTTTCTGAAGTCCTGTGGTAGCAACCATTTTTACCAATCTGGACTTCTGACTGCCACCACTCTTGCAGCATTTCTGGCTAACAGAGATGGATATAGGGCTTAAAGTATATGTGGACTTCCACACCCCAGAAGTCTGTGTTCCAAAATAATTACCTACATCACCACCTGTTGGGAAAGCTAAGGAATGTGTATGCAGCTGACCTACACATTTCATTGTAATAATTCAAAAAGAAACTGAGGGTAGCTGAGAGCTGCCACATACCCACCACTCCTATACCATATCCTAATGAGAGAAGCATGAATAAAGCCCATCTCTAGCAGTTTCTGATTTTTATTCGCAACCATAACAAATGACATGTAACATGCTGAAGCCTTAATCCCATACCTGGGTCGAGTCTCACCACAACAAGGTATAGTATAAAAGCAGCTAATAGCATCTTTTTGTAAGAGATAAAACAGAAGTGGCTTGACATGAACCTCAGTACTCTATGTAGAAGTTTCAGCATGGTCAAGAACTTTTCAGGTAGAGAGCCTGGAACAAGAGACAAAAGGTAGGGTGAGAAGACAGGCAACACAAGACAGAAAATTATGTCTTGAGTGACTTTCAATATCCCCACTTTGGGGCTGAAGCAGGTCTTCACTGACTTCATGACTACCATGGAGATATCCTCGGTAGCAACTGGGCCAACACAAGACAGGGTATGCTTTGTTTTTCCTCTGCCTGAATACAGGAGCTCCATTTATCAGGGGAGGTGGGGATAGAAGTCATTAAGACACCTGTCATAGTTGGACCACTACCTTCTAAAGGACAGATCCCTGTCCTCCAGTACCCTCGCTGGGATAGTGATCTAAACTGATCTGTCCCCAAAGACTCATGAAGCCACTGGGATTCCAGAGTCCTCTGGGGTATGTTCCCACTGACCTCGCTGGCTACCCTGTCAATGGCTTTGTCAGTCTGTGGAATAGCACACTGACTATGGCCACAGACCCAAGGGCACCCAGGCATCCACTCCCTCTGTGGCAGCAGCACAGTTCCCCCCTGGTATGCAGGAGACCTGAAGTAGAAGGGCAGGCAGTTAGAGAGAAGATGGCTCTTAACCCATATTGAAGATGACTGACTGTGGTGCAGATTCTTCTTAAAGACCAAAGGTATGTCAGGGTGGCAGTGAAGATGCTTTTCTTCTCCACTGCCACCGCATCTGCAAACTGCAGCTCAGCAAAACTGTTCCAGGTGCTGAACAGTTTAGCTAACCCAGAATGCCTCCACTCAGAAACCAAGTTGTCTAGAGTCTGCAGTGAAGAGTTTCTGTCCTTTCCCACCCAGCTTGCCCCACCTTCCTCACAGACAAAATATAGGAGTGTTTTGGTATATTCTGGTTCAGTGTTACAAGAGGATATGTCTTGGGGATTACCACTTTTGTTAAAGAGTCAGAGTTCAGAGTTGAGGAGGTTGTTTTGTCCAGTTTATATGGATCAGTTTCAATGACTGTCACCCACTGACAAAGGATGTACTCTGGGGGGGATGCAGGCAACCGGCTATGACCTGGGCCTGTGCCCCTCCTTGCTTGTAAATAAAATGCTAAGGGAGACTGAAGTCATTGCTAGCAAGGACTGTCAATGCCTCCCCTTGGGTGGGCAAGGGACCAGACATTCTAAAGTCTGAGACTGTTCAGCCTCTATTACTTGACTCTGACTCCCCATCTAGCTACCAAGCTCCACTACCTATCTCCAAGCTCCCCTTTTTTGGGGCAGATAATTGAACTGTGGTCACCCAACAGCACATATAAATGCAATTTGATTTCTGAAGCCTTGTTAGTCTGGCTTTTGCCCTGAATACAGCATGGAGGCCATCCTCGTGGCCTTGGCTGACAATCTTCCCTTGGAGGTTGACTAGGGAAACTGTGCCCTGTTAATCTTGCTAAGATGTTTCTTTGGTTCAGTTGACCATGAGGTGCTGAAAAAGCATTTGCATAGCCTGGAGGGTGTATGTGGGACCACACTTAACTGGTTCTGCCCTTTCTTAGGAGAGAGGTTCCAGAAGGTGGTGATGAGTGATAGTTCACCATCCTCTTGGAACCATCCCTGTGGGGACCCCCAGGGCTCCACCCTATCACCCTGTTCAATGTGTATGTGAGGCTGCTGGGTGAGATCATGCAGATATTTGTAGTGTGGAGACATCAGTATGCTGATGACACCCAACGTTTTCTTTCTTATCTAAAATAACCTGGACTCTGCAGTCTGTCCTTTCCCACTGCCTGGCTGCAGCTGGGGACTGGATGCAAGTGAGCCAACTAAAGCTGAATCCAGACAAGACAGAGGTGATGCTGATGGGCAGTCGGCATAACCTGGAGGGCAGGGTTTAAACACCTACCACTGATAGGGTTCAGTTTCCTTCTGTCAGTCAGATTCACAGGTTTGGGGTGCTCCTGCATCCTCTGCTACACCTGGGTCACCAGGTGGCAACAGTGCTTAGAAGTGCCTTTCACCAACTTCATCTGGTATAAAGGTTGCAACCTTTTCTTTCCAACTGAGATCTGGCCACCATCATCTATGCCTTCATAACCTCAAGGCCAGACTACTGCAATGTGCTCTTTGTGGGGCTGCCCTCAAGGACCAGCCGAAGGTGCAGCTGGAGCAGAATGCAAGCCTTCTAATGGGGGTGAGTCACATAACTAGCGCACTAGAGTCTGCACTGGCTCCCAGTAGCTTACCAGGAGCAATTCAGGGTGCCAGTTTTGACCTAAAAGGCCTGGGCCCTGCCATGACCATCTTCTCCCATATGTCCCATTATGATCTTTAAAGTCTGGGATCTTCTGTAAGCCACTCTGAGCCTTTGTTGGGAAGTGTGGTATATAAACGCTAATACATAAATATACAGTACAGCCTCTGCATTCCCACAGCAATCTTCATAGGGCAGCTTTAAGAAAAGAAACACTGTATTCATCTCTGGGTTTCCCCAGATTTGCCTGGGCTTTATCAGAGATGTGACCTCACAATGGATACTGCAATTCAGAAAGTACTAAGAGTAAGGGGACAGACGACTATTATTGGACACCTAAAAAACTATTTTGGCCCAATCTCAGTTGCTTGCATTTCTAAAACCTGCAAGAAAAATGCAGGAGTATGAAAAGGAAGAGAAAACCTACCCAATGCCCTCTCCCTCACTGTGACAGGCTGCTCTCTGGGAGTTGACTGCATCTCTTCGTGGTGTACCCACTGATGCCTCCTCTCATGAATGGTACTGAGAGTCAAGAGTTGTTGCTCCTTGTCAAAAACTTCACAGCTCTGTGCCAGTTCCTCTGCTTCTGCAAACTGTCCAAGAGGCAGCAGCACATGCAACAAATAAAGCTCCATCACGGTGCCATATGAAGGAAGGCTTTTGTTGGTTAGATCCCTTAACCAGTCATTGCCAACTTCCAACATCACATGGGGCTCCCTCACTCTGCTATATAAAAGGATACTAGAATACAAGAAAGATAAACATTACAAACACAAGCTGTTACCCTCTTGACACCTTCAAGGATAAAAGATGCTGCAGAGAATGAAGTGTCCTACTTGTTCTTTCATTCTAAAAAGGTTTCCACTGAACAAAGGCATAGCAGGACAGCTCCACACCCTGGTCACAGATGGTGTACATGGGGCAGTACCAGCCGCTGTGCTGCTGATGTCAGCGACATGGCCAGCCACCAGTGCAGCAGCAGCTACTTCTCCACCCCTTTCTCAACAGACACAGTGCCTAGGGCTGGGGCCGTAGCTGCCTCCCCTCCTAGTCCTACTCTCATGCAAGGCTGGAAAAAGAAGGGTGGCAAAAAGGAAGGAGAAAAATTACAGAACATGCTAAATGGATATGTTGCTGTACCTGGTTACTTCAGACAGCACATCTAGAAATTATTGGCAGGGACTCACCACAGCTCCAAGATTTTTGGAGGCAGATGTTCAGGGGTGTGGTAATACCGCAGGACCCAAGAAAGTACTTCTCTCCACCGGTTCATCTCTGACAGGGCCTGGATCCCCACAATGCACAGGGAACATTTCACTTCTTCTGAGCTGTCCAATGGATGAAACAGGCCAAATGAGCACTTTGCTGAGAAATGTGGTTTCAAAGCAGTTTCAGCTAATACACATTTCCAGCAGCATGAATGGAAATATTAAGGTCAGATTCCTCATGCCATAAATGTGCACAGACCTTTTAATAATAATAAGGATTTGTCCATATTTATACATATTAATGAAACTAAAATAAACCCAGTTATATCTAAACATTCATTCAGGGTGTTAACAACAAAACCCACACTCCAATAGTAATCTGGTTACTAGAAAAGCATGACAAAAACTGGCATCATTATTTTTAGTACTGCAATCACAATATAAATTTAGCATTAGGATAATTATTGGGATTTCCAAATTAAATAATACATGGTTTACAAAACACTCTTCAAAACCAACCCCGTCCTTAACCTCCAAAACAAAATTCAGTGAGAAAAGATTGTCTTCTTCCCAAGGCACTGGCCTGAAACCCATGAAATTGGATTCAGTTTCTGGTTACATCCCCAGGACCTGTAACCAGTCATTTAATCTTTCTCTGCCTCAGTTCTCCCTTTACAAAAGGGGAAGTTTCTAACGCCTTTGATTGATCTCATCTATTTAGTCTACAGGCTCACTGACAGCCTGTATCCTCCAATGTTTCTACAGCAGGTAGCACCAGGAGGTGCTGGTCTGAGCTGGGGACACTGGATGGCTGTGTTACACAAACAATGAACAGCAATAAAATGGCAACTAAGAACAAAAATAAAATACAAATAAAACCAAAACAACTTCTGCTCACCTGCAGACTTTCAAAGTATCGCACTGTGCATCTTAAACCAGACAGTTCTACTTTTGGGACTAACTTTAACCCCTTCTTCCAGGAAACCACCATCACCAGGCCCCTCTCCATTTCCTTTAAATACCTTGGTGCACTGTGGGCCAAACTTTTTTGACAGATGTGCCACAAATTAGCCTGACACCCTCTTTGAGGGCCACTCTGATCCCCTCCCCCAATCTGCTGCTTTGCTTTTTGCCTCCTACCCTGTGTTCCCTCCTCTATCGGCTGCTCTGCTCTGCTTTCTGCTCCCTGCCTTGCATCCCTGTCCAATCTGCTGCTCTGCTTTCTGCTCCCTGCCCTGTGCTCTCTGTCTGGCCTGCTACTCTGCTTTCTGCCTGCACTGCTGCTTTGCTTTCTGCTCCCCACCCAGTCGTCTGCCCCACTTTTTGTTCCCCCATGTGCTTCCTCTCCGATCTGCTGCTCTGCCCTATGCCACAGACCCCCTCCCCCATGGACTGAAAATGAATA